ATAACCGAAAATTATAAATCGTTTCCTTCAATTTAGCAAAAATACGGTTTCGTCAAAACACATAACATTTTACGACACCCTGTTGAGCTTTTACGTCATACAAATTTAAATTGCTTTAAATTACTGTAAAAAGCGAAATTTTGAGCATTCGAATTTTAAAATTGGTTAAAAAGAACTCGAAATTATCAATAATTTCTCTTAATTTAGTAAAACCATATTTTCGTCGAATCACATGTCATTTTACGACACCCTACTGAGCTTTTATGTTACAGAAATTTAAACTGCCTTGAACCACAGTAAAAAGCGAAATTTTTGGCGTCCAAATTTGAAAATTGGGTAAATATAATCGGAAATTATGAATCGTTTCCTTCAATTTAGCAGAAATACGTTTTCGTCAAAACACATACTGCTGAGCTTTTACGTCCTACAAATTTAAATTACTTTGAATTACTGAAAAAAATAAACGAAATTTTGGGTGTCCAAATTTGAATATTGGTTAAAAAGAACTCGAAATTATGAATAGTTTCCTTCGATTGAGTAGATACATTTTTGTCAAAGCCCATCTCATCTTACCACATCCTGCCGAGTTTTTGTGAAGGTACAAATCTTGCATTCAAGTTCAAGGAGCAATGGGGATACATACAAATTTGTTGCCTTGAACTACCATAAAATACGAAAATTTGACCGTCCAAATTTGAAAATTAGTTAAAATGAAGGCGAAATTACGAGTCATTTCCTTCAATTTCCCAAAAGCTTATCTTTGTCATCGTAAAAAATTAAAACTGACTTGAATACAGTGGCAGATCTTAAACATCCGCAGCCTCATGCATAACTTTCTTTTAGAGTTCCTATTCATAAAACAAAAATAAGAGTCAAACTCTAAAATTCCAAAATAACGTTTAATTTTACACTATTTTCAAGAATTACGTAAAGGAAATATGGGACCACTTGAGGGGCTCCATGATTCGTCACCTAAAGAAGTTCAGTTTTTCTCGTTTTATTCCTATTTTTCCTTGTAAATTTCATACATCAGTTATGATTTATTAGGAACTTTTTATCGTTTCAATTTTGATCAAACTGTTTTAAATAAAATATTAAAGACATTTAGAGAACAAAAGTTATAAATACGTATAATATACAGCTGATTAAGGTTTTCAGTACAAAGTTGCCAGGAGATTCGACCATCTAGTTTTAGATGGAAAAGATTTTCTTGAAAACCATTAAATACTTTATTGATTGTTCTAACCAGACACAAGTCGAGACCAAATGGGTATTAACCCTACAAAGGTAAATTCCACTGACAGAGACTGTCGCACAGTTTGCTCTGTGACTGAACAATTGTCATTAAAGATTATGATGGTAAACATTCTCCTCTAGTCGCTTGTTTCTTCGCCAACAACAATATCCCTTCACAGCAGGTAAATTTTATCAGCAGGCGTCAACTCATTAGCAGCGACGCTTAGTTGGTCGAAGCGGCGCCTGCGGTATCAATAAGAAAAATTCTTAGTCTGTAATAAAAGCTAAATCCACAGGGGTAGGTACATGGTGCAATATTACCTGCATGTATGTAAGTATTGTTGTGTTATTAGAAGCATTATTATATTAAAATACCAGATCTGTCGACGATATGGGTTCTCGGGTTTCAGCACAAACATCATTACTGATTTGGTTCGCAAAAATACCAAAAATTTGTGAAAAGTAACCGTCTTGTATTTAACCGTGAAACCGCATTTTTTTCATATTCAACACAAGCTGAAAGTCAAATGGTCGAACCCTAACAACGGTCCCCTTTTTGATGAAGGGATGGAGATCGTTATGATTCAAACTCTCACAACACAAAAATGCTTCTTACGTCTTCGAATACTTTAGATTATAAAATCCACACATATATTTTCTTACTTTCTATTTTTTATGAATTCATTGCAAAATTTGCATTTTATATACACCAGCATTGACCTAGTTACTACCCTTATTAACGACAGATTTCTCAGCTTATAATGTTTGCATTGTCTTGTCACCGCTAATTGTTTGCGCTTTGAAAATGCAAAATATTGTTCATCATTTGCGTTTCCAACTGAAGTTAATAATAATAAGACTAAATATTTAAAAAATTGAGAAAAGCTACTATTTCTAAGTGGGATAGGTACCCAGTTGATGTACCTATAAGTAATCATAGTTTAGCACATACCTAATTTACTGAATATTGCCTTGACAGTCTTTNTTGTCACCGCTAATTGTTTGCGCTTTGAAAATGCAAAATATTGTTCATCATTTGCGTTTCCAACTGAAGTTAATAATAATAAGACTAAATATTTAAAAAATTGAGAAAAGCTACTATTTCTAAGTGGGATAGGTACCCAGTTGATGTACCTATAAGTAATCATAGTTTAGCACATACCTAATTTACTGAATATTGCCTGAAATAAAATAATTAAATATTGTTATCAACCGAAAACAGGAAGGTGCTAATGTGTGAGTAAATATACTAATGATAAAATTAATTGTTGACTCAATAAAAACAAATTATCTGGTTGGTACCTAGTAAATATTTAAGCATGTATATGTGTAACAGTAAATGCGACTATATCAGTTGACTAAACTTTTTTTGAGAACTTTACCCACAAAGTTGTTTTCAATTAAAGGGCCGAATTTCATAGCATAAAAATTTATGCTAGAAAATTGAATTGAAGTACAATATTTTCAGTTATTTGTATGTCATTGTTATTTCTGTCTGATATTTGTTTGATGCCAGACAGGTGCTTTACACTTTAAATTACAGTTGAAAGTCCATAAATAATTTTATTGCATTCAAGTAATTTTTTTATGAGAGATAATAAGTGATAAATCGTTAAGTATTAAAAATGATGGCATTCCCATTTAAAATATAAAATCGCCACAACTATACAACTGTACCTTAAATGTTCAAAATAAATATTATGCATAAACCATTTCTTTTATCATAAAAAGTCCCTTATTAGTTCATAACGAAAATATGATGGAATGGATTCAAATAAAATTTTAATATGTTTATAGGCAAGAATATAACCAAGTTTTTCGCTTGTTTAAGATCTTATTACAATTTTATTTGGAAAAGGAAAACCTTATTTAGTAAATGTATAGGTAGACTAGTTATACTTCATCGTTATGAACATTCTATCATAGAAGACTTATTATAGGTACAGATACGTATACGTTGATGATTGAGTTTCTGTGGATGTACCATGACATTCATTGGTGACAAAGCAGTAATTGTGACAAAGTGCAAACCAACAGATTTCATGCCCATTTGTCAAGTTTAAACTGATTAGAAATGAGTCGTATAAATCATAGAGTGGTACAGATTTGAATAAGACAGTGTGAATTACCTAATAATGAGTATTACGTCGAAGTAGTGGTTTATAACATAAAGGATCATTTTACCAATACCTAACTTATTAGGTATTTTTCCTAGAATACACATTTTTGTTTATACGTAAGGGTACGTAAGTTCAGACAATGAGAATTGTTTGCGGAATCACCAAAAGATAAAAGCCAGCTATTATTTTACCAGGAATGATCAATAGCGAAAATGTAAATTAATAGGAATCTGTTTGTTATAGAAATGTTATTTACCTATAAATAGTACGCATGATCAATGTAGCAATGGCCTCCGGCACGCTGAGGTCTCTTTGATGTCTATTTTCAGATTTTCACCTATTCGTTAGTGTTTTTGATTATACAAATTCTAAAATAAGCTTTACACAAATTTGTGGCATGTATTTCAAACCACATTGAGTACTGATGTTTATTAGGTATAATATTTGTTTGGATAAAGACTAATTTTGTAAATGGAGTAATGATAATAAGATATTATACGAACATTTAGCCATAAAACAGCTCCGTTCGTGTTGGATTTTGTATAATTTACCGATCACGCAATAAATATAAAAAACATAGAATTCATGGGTTATCCATTCGAGTGGATCCATTGCTTAGCATTCGGAAGGATGCTGGTTAGATCATCAGAAAGCATGTTTTCTTTATTTGCGTCTATTGAAAAAATGTTTCACAAGAAGCTTAAAGTTTTCTTTAAACTTTTAAGTCAATAAGCTCTCTTCAATTTTTGAATGTCCTCATCGTTTCTTGAAGGTTTTTGCAATTTGAAAGATTTATACCAAAAAATTATGCTAATGGCTATCCACTGATGTTTGAGTGGATAATCTTCTGGACGCAAAGGATTTCAGAAACCAGGAATCCTTGGAATGGATAGATACATGATCGTCTAGACGCAAAGGATTTCAGGAACTAGGAATCCTTTGGACTGGATAGGTACATAATCCTCTGAACGCAAAGGGTTTCAGGAACCAGGAATTATTTGGAACAGATAGATACATAATCCTCTGGACGCAAAGGGTTTCAGGAACCAGGAATTATTTGGAACAGATAGATACATAATCCTCTAGACGCAAAGGGTTTCAGGAACCAGGAATCCTTTGGAACAGATAGAAAAATAATCCTCTGGACGCAAAGGGTTTCAGGAAGCAGGAATCCTTTGGAACGGATAGGTACGTAATCATCTGGACGCAAAGGATTTCAGGAAATAGGAATCCTTTGGAACGGATTGGTACATACATGTAAAATTAGACAATATTTATGTGATTAATCTATTACAGCATCATCCAAAACATGCCGAGCGTATGCATCAATCGGCAACTAGTGTCAATATATATCAAATAATGAAGCATAACGATCTGGACAGAGCCGTGAAATACGCGTTTAGGTGGCAACTGCTGCAATTAAATTAATTTGTATAAGGCAGCGAAACAGTAAAGGAGGCGGCGCGTCTTTAATCCCATGATTAATAGTTTTTATCATACCGAAAAAAATGCCACATGTGGCTCATTTGAATAGACTCTCGCGATTCGCCGACTCCACAGATGGTGAACAGCTGAGCGCCTGGTAGTTTTGTAGTGGGGTAAGTTGAAGGCGGAGTTTCAAATCCCTACTTTGAAACGGAAACACAAACTGCCCCTTCAGTTTCACTCCAACTCTTGATGGAAGTGGAAGTAGCGAACGCGCGTCAAGTTTTAGTTACATGCTGCCGTGGCAATGGTCTGATTGCCGGACGATCGCGAACTACGAAACCAACTCATGAAGAAAGTTATTATTCTGTGATATTACAATTTTTTTAAAGACTTTATACAAAATGTGGCCGGCGATGTTCGCATTACCAGTCTTTTTGTGCGTTATTTTGGTTGTGACGGTGTTGCGTGTGGAATGCCGGACTTTAATAAGTGACCGGCAAACTCCGAAGGGATGCGAATGGCAAATGCAGAGAATAGAAGAGTCCGATGACAAAGAAGAACCTGTTCTCGTGTGCCAGATCCGAACCATCAACGCCGCAGACGGACTTTTGGCCAATTTAACCCAAAATCAGGCAGATCGTATTACGGCCCTTCGGCTAGAATGCAGCGACGTCTTTTTCTTCGAAAGCACTTTGGAACGCAGCAAGTACAGCTCAAACTTTCTGTCCCACTTGAGACGACTGAGGGATTTGCGGATCGAGTTTTGTAAAATTCGTAACATTCCATCATCCGTTTTCACTTCTCTACGAGAACTCAGACGATTCTCGCTGAGATCCCACAACTCCGACTGGTCCGCGATGACTCTGGAACTGCATTCCGAAAGTTTCCGGAATTTGGGAGAGTTACGAAGTTTAGATCTTGCAGATAACAATATCTGGACTACGCCGTCAGATTTGTTTTGCCCCATGTACAATCTGAAACGGCTGAATCTCACGAAAAATAAAATCCAAGACGTTGCATCTCTCGAATTCTCAGACTGGGGTAAAGGTCCACTGGCCCCAGGGCATGCCTGCATAAACGGTTTAGAAATATTGGATCTTTCCGATAACGCCGTCATCTCCATCCCAGACAACAGTCTTACCGGTCTTCGTGCTTTGGAGGAACTCCATCTACAAGAAAACGCTATTTCCACGTTGGGCGATCGAGCTTTCGTGGGTCTCAGTGGTCTTCACACCCTAAACTTGTCCAGTAACGCAATCGTTGCACTTCCTCCAGAACTGTTCCAATCGTCTCGCGATATTCGGCATCTTTACATACGAAATAATTCGTTAAGTGTCCTCGCGCCAGGACTATTAGAAGGACTCGATCAATTACAAGTGCTCGACCTGTCAATGAACGATTTGTCGAGTCGTTGGGTGAACAGAGACACGTTTTCCGGTCTGGTTCGTTTGGTTGTGCTAAATCTCGCGTTTAATTCGTTAACGCGTATCGACTCGAATGTGTTCCACGATTTGTACAGCTTGCAAATATTGAATCTGGAGAACAACAAAATAGACTTTATAGCGGAAGGTGCCTTCTCCGAACTAAAAAATCTCCACGCTTTAACGCTTTCCCATAACAATTTGGTCGAAATTGATGCCCATCATTTCTCTGGTATGTACGCTTTACACCAATTACTACTGGATTCCAACAAAATCGAGTCTATTCATCCCGATGCGTTCGAAAACGTAACGAATCTGCAAGACATCGGCCTGAATGGAAACGCGCTGGGAGGTGTGCCCCAAGGATTAGGAAGGCTCCGATTTCTAAGGACTTTAGACCTGGGAAAGAACCGCATCGAATCTGTTACTAATTCTTCGTTCGAAGGCTTGGATCTGTTGTACGGTTTGAGGCTCGTCGATAATCTCATAGTGAACATTTCTAGAGACACGTTTTCATCTCTTCCATCTCTGACTGTTCTGAATTTGGCCTCTAACCGCATCAAATACGTCGAACAAAGTGCTTTTGCGAGCAATACGGCCCTGAAGGCGATAAGGTTGGACAGTAACGAACTAACCGACATAAGTGGCGTGTTTACCAATTTACAAACTTTAGTTTGGTTGAACGTATCTTCGAATAAACTCATGTGGTTCGATTACAGTCATCTGCCAACCAGCTTGGAATGGTTGGACATGCACGAGAATGAAATTAACGAGCTGGGTAATTATTACGACGTACGTAATACGCTTAAAATAAAAATGCTAGACGTAAGTTTTAACTTGATCAGTGAAATAAACGAGAACTCCATTCCAGACAGTGTCGAAACTCTATTTATAAACAATAATCGCATTGCGACCGTGCATCCTGGAACGTTTTATAAGAAGCTGTCTCTCGAAAAAGTCGTCCTTTACGGCAACAATATAAAAAACCTGGACTTGGCTGCGCTAAGTTTAACGCCCGTAAACAACGATAGAGATCTGCCGCAATTTTATATCGGCGGCAATCCGTTTTATTGCGACTGCAGCATGGAGTGGCTTCTGCGTATTACGCGCTTAAGTGTTCTAAGACAGTATCCTCAAGTGCTCGACCTGGACGATGTTATGTGTGAACTTTCCCACTCGCGAGGCGCCCAACCGCAGCCGTTGCTCGAAATGAAACCTAATCAGTTCCTGTGCCCGTACGAATCGCATTGTTTCGCACTGTGTCACTGCTGTGATTACGACGCGTGTGACTGTGAAATGACCTGTCCGGACAATTGCACTTGTTATCACGATCACACGTGGTCTTCGAACGTGGTCGATTGTGGAAACGCTGGATACACGCACGTCCCAGAACGAATACCGATGGACGCGACTGAAATTTATCTCGACGGAAACGACCTCGGCGAACTAGACAGTCACGTCTTCATAGGCAAAAAGAAATTGGAAGTTTTATTCTTGAACAATAGTAACATAAAAGCGCTACATAATCGGACATTTAATGGTGTCAAGTCTCTACGGGTGTTACACATGGAAGACAATCATCTGAAAGAATTGCGAGGATTCGAGTTCGATCAACTGGAAAAGATACAAGAACTTTATCTGGATCATAACGAGATCGCGTACGTCGGAAACAAAACGTTCAAAAACATGCATAAATTGGACGTGCTGAAGTTGAACGATAACAAGATTGTTGACTTTTCACCTTGGAAACAGTTGCCGGAAACTTCCGATTCCGGTCCGGCTCCTCGTGTTGTTCTAGACGGCAACAAGTGGTCGTGTAAATGTGCGCAGTTAGGTAAACTGGATGCGTGGATTCGGAGCGTGGATAGCGATTTATCAAAGTTAATGTGCGCCGATAGCGACGGCGAGACGCTCGCCGACGCCGCGCGTCGTTGTGAGACAACCGAAAACGTGATCGCCACGTCGATCGTCCAAAGGGAACTCTTGCCAAGCAACTCACTCTTAGGTGGCAGCTTTGCCCCACTTTTGGCCGCAACCCTTGCAAGTGTTATTGTTTTATGTCTTCTAGTCGCCCTCGTGTTCGTGTGCAGACAGAACGTACGACTATGGGTGCACTCCAAATACGGCATCCGAATATTCCAAGAAGGCGTTCCGGATGATCCCAATGACGACAAGGATCGACTTTACGACTGCTATATGGTCTACAGCCACAAAGATGATGACATCATAGCGCGAACGATAGCCTCGGAACTGGAGCAATTAGGATACACCATGTGCCTACACTATCGTGATCTCCACCTACTCGGAAACACTTCCTACCTGACCGATGCGATGGTAGGCGCAGCGGATGCATCCAGGAGATGTGCTCTCGTCTTATCTCCCAATTTTATCTGCAACGAGTGGGCGCGTGGAGATTTCAAAGCGGCTATCCAATCCGCCTTACGTACAGCTGACAGACGCAAGCTTATATGCGTTCTTTACGGTCCATCGGAGCCCATGGATCCCGAATTACGAAGCCTTCTACGTGCTTGCATGGTTACCAGATGGGGAGAGCGTCGATTTTGGGAAAAACTGCGATATGCCATGCCCGATATCATGAACAATAAGTCATCCAGGGGCAAAAAGGGTTCTGATGTACGTTGTAAGCCCAATGCTCGATATACGCCGGCACCAACAGCAACCGATTCGTGGTACAAGTACCATTCCATGCCCCCAGGGGTGCATGGTAACCATTTAACGCCAACTCCTACTCAAAGCACTTATGTTTCCGGCGAATCCGCAAGAAGTACCGAAGACGAAGGTTCGAGTGCCGGAAGCCAACATTACGGGTCAGAACAACTGAATCATAGTTACGTTTCGATCGACGGACGACCTCCTCAGTATTCGCAGTATCCTCAATACAAGGAACCGCATCATGTGTACCATACCATTCCAGATAACAACCAATCGCAACAAAGAACTTATTTTGTGTAAACGTATAATGGAAAATGAATTACTAAAAGGCTGTTTTTTACTTAATTTTAATAGTCATTTACGAAACAATTTTTGCCTGTGAATTTAGTTTTATATTATGGCATCGATTCCTATGTGAATTTAAATGTGTATATATATTTTGTAAATATTATAAGAAAAAATAGTAATTTATTACACGTGAAAACTTGCAAATGTAGTCATTAAATTTAGACTGTACAGTGATCCAGCACTTTATGTATAAAAAGACTGTTCTATTAACTCGAATTTCAAATACTTATCTAAATAAATCGTCAATTCTTAATTCTTTTTTCTTGTGTTATTTAGCAATATCGATCTATTTCTCGATTATTAAAAGAAAATGTTACAGAAAATTCGAATTTTACGCTTTCTATCAGATGTAATTAATTCATGAAACAGAATTACAAGAGCTTACTAAAACAAAGTTTTAATAAATAAATAATCTATTGAACAAAAAATTGTTTCTGAAATTAATAAATTAATTGATCATTATTTTACTGACGCAACTCTTGTAAATTGTTCAACGTTAATAAATTGAATTTTCACAAACTGAAGTAGATGTACTCTTCTTCATAATTAATTAAATTAGTGAATGTAATTTTCTGTAT